AAACCACAGCTTCACGGGGATTATTGCTTTTATAAAACGGTTATTCCATATACGTAGTAAGGTTTCACAAAATAAAACAGAGCAAATAAAGTGTAATGATATTAATAAAAACAGTATTCTTCCACCAAACAATGTAGTTCCTCAGAAACAGTTGTGGTTCCAACAAAGTGGTTGCCGAGCAACACACAAACGTAAACAAAGGTGTATGTTTGTAGAGTAATTCACAACAGCTTCGAACGCGGCTCAGCCAATCAGAATCAAGGACCGGAACTCTCCGCTTTATAAGTAACCATATAAGGTATACAAGAGGCTGAGATTATGTAATTTTATAAGACTGATAAAGTGTCATCGTTCAGCTAGAAGATCTAGTCCTGACAGCAGGAAGTCGGCACCTTCTATATCTGCGCCTTCATTTGTGCCCTCCTCTCCTCCAGTTCCTCTGTTTACTCCTCTCCTCTGACCTCAGCGCTTTCTCAGGAGCTCTGGATCATGTCACCTGGCAGGAGAGGAAGGACATCCCAGACACAGGATGCTTATATCTCTCTCTGTAGGGTCCGTGTTTACAGTCCAACCAATGAGAGGACCTCAGAAATCAGACTTAACCGGCCAAAGGCCCCTTTCTGAGAGCATGTTAGAAAGTGAAATGTAATAAGATGGATTGGTGAAAGCATATCGGTGAAACAATGCACTCATTTTTGCAAACATGTTGCAGTTTAACAGGGTTATTATCATTAACTAAAACTATTAAAACATTATTATTAATTGAAATAAAGCTAAAAAAAAAAATATTAGAAGAAAAACATAGCTAGCAGAATCAAGGACCGGAACTCTCCGCTTTATAAGTAACCATATAAGGTATACAAGAGGCTGAGATTATGTAATTTTATAAGACTGATAAAGTGTCATCGTTCAGCTAGAAGATCTAGTCCTGACAGCAGGAAGTCGGCACCTTCTATATCTGCGCCTTCATTTGTGCCCTCCTCTCCTCCAGTTCCTCTGTTTACTCCTCTCCTCTGACCTCAGCGCTTTCTCAGGAGCTCTGGATCATGTCACCTGGCAGGAGAGGAAGGACATCCCAGACACAGGATGCTTATATCTCTCTCTGTAGGGTCCGTGTTTACAGTCCAACCAATGAGAGGACCTCAGAAATCAGACTTAACCGGCCAAAGGCCCCTTTCTGAGAGCATGTTAGAAAGTGAAATGTAATAA